ATCAACACAAAGACTCAATCAATAAAAAGATTTAATAAACACAAAAATCAACTAATAGTTACCTTTCGACTGGATACATCCATCAGAATTGAACTAGACCTCCCAGTTTTACTTCTTCTGTTAGATGAATGGTTAAATGAACCATTACTGTGAAGAATGATGGAGGAAAGATCATTTCTAAATGGCACAATGTAAGTGTAATATGCTTCTGCAACTTATTGATATCTTCAATGTCAATTACTTTTAGGCTGATTTCCCGAAAAAACTGACACAACTATGTTATAACAAATGAGACCTCACGTGGTAAAACATTACGTAAGGAGATAGACAATAAGTGACACATCAAAATGTGGCAATCATGACTCTTTAAACCAACTATTTTTCTTTGATTTATATCAACACATCTGGAAATATTTGAAGAATACCCATCTGGGAGCTTTACATTCTTCAATATGTTAAGAAATCTATCTTTCTCAGACGTATCATTGTAAAACAAGCTGGAAGGTACCTACCATTTTCATCAGACCACAACTCCTCACGTATACCAAGCTCTTGCAAATGTTTTCTAGCACTGAGATTGTCTTTTGACTTGTCTTTGTCATTCAGTAAGGTAAAAATAAGATTATCAAACACATTCTTCTCTATGTGCATCGGATCCAGATTGTGTCGCAAAAGAAGATGTTTCCAATAAGGTAATTCAAAGAATATACTCCTCTTTCTCCACTGATTCTTTCCAGCTTCTACTCGGCGTCTCTTCTTTCCAACAGAATCAATCTTCTTCCCCAAAGTAACATCAACATTTTGCATTTGTTGGAGAATAACACTTCCTGATGGTGTAATAGGAGAAGTCCTTGTTTCAATAAAACCATCAAAATGCTGCTTATCTTTTCGAAAACTATGACTTTTAGGAAGAAAACGCCTATGTCCCATGTAACAGCTCTTCTTCCCATGGCGTAGACGGAGCTCTCTAGCATCATAGTTACAAGAAGGACAAGCTAATCATGTGTAAATGTTCCACCCAGATAAATTTTCTAGACCTGGAAAATCACTAATAGTCCAGAGCAAAACCGCACGCATAGAAAATGTCTCTTTTAAAGAAGCATCAAAGGTTGGTACTCCATCGTACCATAACTCTCTTAGTTCCTGGATAAGAGGCTATAGGTAGATATCAATATCATTACCCGGCTGATGTTTCCCAGGGATTATCATTGAGAGAATTGTTGATGTTTTCTTCATTGACATCCAAGGAAGAAAGTTATAAGGGAATAAAAACACAGGCCATACATTGTAGTTTGTGTTCAAAGAACCAAACGGATTAAAACCATCAGTTGCCAATCCTAACCTGACATTCCTTGGGTCTGATGCAAACTCTGGACATTCCTGATTAAATGTTTTCCACGCCATTCCATCTCTAGGATGCCTAAGCTTACCATCTTTATTCTCAGAACTATCATGCCACCTCATATATTCAGCAGTCTTGGATGACATAAAAAAACGCTGCAACCGTGGTTTAAGAGGAAAATATCTAAGGACTTTAGCAGCTTGTTGCTTTCTTTTCTTCTTCTTCTTTTTATCAACCTCCACAGATGTATCATCAACTTCCGTAGATGTCTTCCATCTTGAACTTTCACAAAATTTACATGTGTGTCTAGCTGCATCATCTCCCCAATAAAGCATGCAATCATTAGGACACACGTGAATGATCTCATATGTAAATCCTAACTTACCAATAATCTTCTTCATATCATTGAACGAGTCTGGCAGCTTTGCATGATCAAATGCTTCTTTCAAGAGGTCAATTATCATGGATATTCCTTTGTCACTTATCCTAGACATACACTTGATGTGATACAACTTAAGCATGAATGATAACTTGCTAAAAGACTGGCATCCTTCATAAAGAGCTTGATTACAGTCTGATAACAAATCATTAAGGGCCTCCTTTTGCTTAATAATAACTTCTCTAGGACTAGCAGATTCAGAGTCAAGACTATTATCCATAGTCGGGTCTTAGTATTATTCATACTGGGAAAAATATCTTCTAGCAGATTTAGAGTCGGGTCTTCAGTATTATTCATACTGGGAAAAGCTAAACTAACCGTCTCTTCATGTGATTCTAATTCTTCACCATGTAGATACCAATTTGTATATGCTGGAAGAAAGCCATGACAGATTAAATCACCCTCAACGTCAACCCTAAGCTTGTGTTTAACAAGGCAGCAATGATGACAAGGACATTTGATCATGTCTGTCTTCATATTTCCAAATGCAAAATCCAAAAAATCTGTGACTCCACGTATGTAGTCTTCAGATAACCGATTTTTGGTTATCCAAGATTTATCCATTTCAAAATGAATCTACGAATCAATCAAACCAAGCATCATAAATTAAAGTTCATTCAAAGTTTAACACATATTGAAACACCATTTCGAGGATGGTGTAGAACACAGTTCAAGTTTCTCAAAGTGAATCTACGAATCAATCAAACCAAGCATCATAAATCAAAGTTCATTCAAAGTTTAACACAGATTGAAACACCATTTCGAGGATGGTGTAGAACACAGTTCAAGTTTCTCAAAGTTCTAACACATAACCATATAATCGAACCAATCATCATAAATCAAAGTTCATTCAAAGTTCTAACACATAACCATATAATCAAACCAATCATCATAAATAAAAGTTTTTCAAAGTTCTAACACATAACCATATAATCGAATCACATTTAACAAATTTCTCAAACACAACTATTCACATTTCTCAAACACATAACCATACAGTGTAGTCAAACTATTCACCTTTCTAAAACACATAATCATACAACATATCTAGGTTATTTAAGAGTGGCGCTAAATGTGAAAACTAACCTTTAGGAGTGGTGTTGAAATCTGAGCATCCAGAGATTAAATCAATTGAGGAAGCTTCACCAACGCCTTACAAAAATGGGAAAGAACATAAGTATCACAGCTATTCAAAAGTGAAAGTAAAGGAAATACAAAGCTCACAATTCATCATATCTGTCAGTGGTATATGAGCTGATCAAATAGAATATAGTACCTTAGAATAAACATCTAAAATTACACAAAAGTAATTAAGGAAGGCAACTAAACGTCAACAAAGAGGCTCAAGCAACACAGAAGAAAATACATTAAGGGAACAAACAAAACGATCACAATTCTTAAACGGCTATTCACAGCTATTCAATAACTCATATTGTTCACAGCTATTCACAGCTATTCAGAGAAAATTGACAAACTGTTTTTGGGCTAATCATATCGTAAGCAGTTTCTCAGCTACAGAACATGAGAGTCAGCTACAGAATATGAATTAATGCTTAACATCACAACCTAATTCAGTAAGATTGAACAACCAACTTCATAACATAGTCTTTGAATCAATGCCTAAGCCAACACATAGAATCATAGAATGACTAACCAAAGGAATTTATTTGAGGTTTCGTAGAATCATAGAATGACTAACACGATAAATTTCTCTTACTACTAAGGTATCGAAGATTACCCAGGTATCAAAGAATATCGATGATCGACTAATGACGCAGATGTTGTGAGCGAATAGCGATTGGGAGCACTGAAACCCAATAAAATCGAGAAGAAGACGATGAAATTGCCAGAAAAAAGTAGATCGGGGAAGAAGAAGATCCAGGAAGATGAAATTGCAGAAGAAGAAGATTTGAAATTGGTAGATGAAGAAGAACGATGAAGAAGAAGTGGAAGAAGAGGATCGGGATGATTCGAAGGATTTTGATTCGGAGGATTTTGATTTTGATCGGAACTTTTGATTTTGTTCAGTATTTGTTTATTTTTTTAGTTAATTACTAATGAAACCAAAAAAAAATAAAAGGTAACATTCACCAAAACAAAAACAAAAAAAGGTAACTACATTTTACGTCATTTAGTTATTTGACACAAAAACACTTTATTATTTTATAATTAGCATTATTTCTTTAAGTAATGCTAATAAAGTAATGCTAAACTCCTTATTTCTTGTTGTGTATGTAGCCTATAGTGGTCAAACTGTTAGGGCTATAATGAGCTTTGATATCAGATTTGAAAAATTCGATATGGCACCATTACCGTCTGATAATATTCGGATACATGAAGATGTTCTGATAACTTATAGAGGGAGATTAGGTTGTCTTGATCAAAATAATGGTGGAAGATTGTGGATCTTGGAGGATGCAGAGAAACACAAGTGGTCGAGACAAGACTTTCTTGTACCTTTTTAAGTCACTTTGATGAGAGTTTAAATACCCGTTTCAAACTAACAGGTTTCACTTATGCTGGTGAGCTTATTTATGTACCACCCACGTTTCATAAATTATATTATATTTTATTATGTGATCCGGTGAGAAACTGCTGCAGAAGATTCGAGTTTGGAGGAATCGCAGACGGAGAACATCCGTATCCGCTTAAAGCTTTTCCGAATCACAGTGACACTCTAATGTCTTTGTAATAATTATAGAGATAATTATATTTGTTGCTCTCATTTTTCCGTTTTTTTTCATAGATATCAACGTCATGAATTTTTCTCTTATAATTTTCTCATTTCTCGATTAATTCGTTGGTACTCAGACCATCCTCATCAGTTAGTATTTTAAATTGGGTTTCTAATGCATATTTTTATTAATATATATTCATAATTTAATTAATTATTAAATATAAACTGATTGATCTAGTTATAGAAAGACATGTGGTAAAAACTTAATTAAAAACGTATCTAAAACATTTTAAACAAGAGATGCTTGTCTCTTGTCTCTCTCCTATCTTTTTTATTATTTTTGTTTATTTTTAATGCTAAGAAACGCTTTACAAACTGCCGCTGGAGATGCTCTCATCTAGCTGAAAAGTCAAAAATAAATTGCATAAAAGGAACATTAAGCATATATTTTAAGATGAAAAGGTCGCAAAAGTCACCATCTATGCCTAATTATTACCTACAACTCTTGTGAAAGAGAATGGATAAATATCAAACTTACTACGTACCGTTGCAAAATTTCTAATTGCTATGTACAAACTGATTTATCAGTTTTTATAAAGTTTAAAAATGCAAAGTACATAAACAAAACAAAAAAAACCTTTCTCCTTGCATTAAAAGACTAACTTAACAATGTTATGAAATATCTCTTATCGGAACAACATTTTGAGCTCCTCAAGTCTTGCCGACCGGACTTCTTCATCGGTCAAAGCTCCGGCGATCATCCGCTGCTTCCTTGCCTGAACTTGCTGCATCCGTTCCTCCACTGTATCCTGCACACATTCATCCAACACAAACCATGTTAAGAGATCGATTACTTACGAGGCAAGAAATTTCGAAAAAAAATGCAGTTTATTGTATTACCTTGACAATGAATCTTCTGACGCATACCGTTCGTTTCTGCCCTATCCGATGAATTCTCATGATCGCTTGCTCTTCCACCGCAGGATTCCACCATGGATCCTAAGTATTTCAAGAAACATAGCAAAAGATCATCATCATTGATATAATCATAAAGAAGCATTAAAAACAAGATTGAAGAGAAAGTGGTACTACCATCAAGAAGACGCTTGAAGCTGCGGTAAGATTCAGACCAACTCCTCCAGCTTTCAGAGACATAAGCAGAATCTGATACATCACATAAACATAAAAGATTTTTTAAGCTCTCTGTTCCATCCAAACAGAGTTTAAGAGTTTGATGGAAACTATCCATTTACTTACCGTTTTCTGTTTGGTTTCGTTGAACTCTTTCAAGACCTTTTCTCTCGCCTTCTGAGCAAGCTTCCCGTCGAATCTAAGAAACTCGATTCCTCTTTTTCGCAACGGTATCTCGAGAAGATCCAAAAACGAAGTCCACTGGCTAAACACAATGCTCTTCTCACCAGAACCAGATCTCTTGATCTTCTCTAAGCAATTGAGAAGCTCTGTGACCTTTGAAGACTCCTTCCAGTTTCTAACAACATCAAGGCGGAATATACTCTCCGTCGGGCACGAGATAAGCTCTGTTTTCTTCAGGATTGTCCTGCAGATTGGGCATAGACCACAAGACGTAGAGCGCGAGCTAGTAAGAAGACACTCTCTGCACATTCTGTGAGCGCAAGGTGTGAGGATGGGATCATCTGCAGACTCTAGACATATTGGACATTCTTTGCTGTTGCCATCGCGTAAATCTTGGATGACTTCTTCGATATAAGCCCGAGAAGGAGCTTTTTGGGAATCAGAGTCAGTGTTGTTATCAAGAAATCTCCTTGCGAGGCTATCTAAGTCAGCGTATTGTTGCGAGTCTGCTCGGCTGCGATTTTCAAGAATGTATTAGAATCCATTGCTAAGAAAGAAAGATAAACGAGTCCGGATTTTTGTTTTGTACCTCATAACTAGGAAAGGGTGGTTACAACATTGGCGTAGACGGAGGAGGAGCTCCAGGATGTTTGCATAGTTGTGAAGAACTCTGCCTTGTGCCACAAACTGGTCAAATTGGACCTGTTTCCAAACAAAAAAGGAGGTTACGGATTTACCAAGACATCATCAAACCAATGAAACAGATTACGTTCAAGCTTTATTGTGGTTAAAGACTTACTTTGGATCTCTTGAAAAGGGCAGTATAGAAATCACGTTCTGCTTCGGATTGTTCACATTCAATGACTTGGACATCCGTTGGAGGAAGTTCAAGAATCAAGCTGAAAATTTGTGAGACGGTGGAGGAAACGTTAAGCTATAAGCCAAGCAAAGGAGAAGAAAAAAAAAAGGATTGAGACAGAGGAACAAAGAAAAACATCTACGTACCTTCCTTCTTTGTCCCTTGTTTCCTTTGTTCTTCTCAGCATCAATGGCCTCAAAATCGCCTTGATCAGCTTCAGTCCTCGTGGATCGCCATTTTCATAAGGCTTCTGAATCAACTTACTCCACCTATCACACGCACACATAGATTAAGCATTAAAGTTAAACCGAAAGGAAACCTATATAAAAGATAGTACGATCCTAGATGGTATCTCAACATACCAAGCCCAATTGCACCATGGTTCAACATGCAAGAAGCATAGGAGACTATAAAGATCTTCAAGCTTGTTCTGTATTAAACAGAGGTATAGATTCGTTAAGTGCCAAAAGAGTGAGTATAGGCTCATATTATCTATTCAGGAGTTGCTTTTTTTAGTATCTTACTTGTAAGGGAGTCCCTGTGAGACACCATCTGCAGTGTGAAGACAACTCAAACGTAGCTTTAGCAGCTTGAGTCTTCCATGACTTGATCGTGTGAGCTTCATCAAGAACAATCCTATACCAATCAATCCTGTGGAAAACACTGTTCGCCATGTCCTGCATGTCATGATTCTCAAAAATTAAGTTCGACTAAACATACAAAAAAAAAGAACAAAGTATGAATTGGTACATGAATTATCTCTTACCTGCTTGTAAGCTGATGTTAAGACACCATAAGTTGTCAAGACAACATCATGGCTCGCTATTGCTTTAGCGTCATGTGTCCTATCCCCTCCATAGTAAACCAAGACAGACACTGTGTCAGGCTTGGAATGTGTCTCAAACTCGTCCTGGAATAAAGTAAAAATCCATGAGACTTTTCTGAAAAAAAAAACTTATCAAAGAGTTAATAAAGAAACAGCTATCAAGAGCAAATCACCTTCCATTGGCTTAACAATGCCATAGGACAAACAATAAGAGTGCCACCTTTTGCCTTCACAGACGTTAGTGCGGTATGATGATTCTCCTTCCTCTTAGGTTTATCCACACAAACATCTGAAGCCAAGTCATCTTCAGTTTCCGGGTTTCCACGGCCTGGCCGTGCAAGTATTAGTGCAATTGTCATCACTGTTTTTCCAAGTCCCATTGCATCTGCCAATATCTGAAAACAAAATGTTCCAACATTTATCAAAACCACAAGCAGAGAGATTATGTGCCACTGTTAGAATAAAGATTAAGCATGATCAAGAAACATACTCCGCCTCTTGCCATCTGTGTTGCTGTTGGAAACTGGATCGTTGCTTCACCGCTGAAGATGTTCATGTAAATTGAAGGTGCCCTCCTGAAACAGTTACATACAAATCAAATGTTAGTAGATGAAACAACTTCGACATTTATAAAACAAAACGATTCAGATGTTACATACTCGTCACAGATTCGATAAGCCTCCCAACAAGGATGTAGAGTTTCAGCTGCCTTATCAACATCGATTCCTTTTTCAGATTCTGACATCCAGTAGAGTGCTTGCTTCTGGTATGGTCTCAGGTTACACGTGAGTGTACTTGGAGCTTCCATCTCCTATTTGATTGAACAATAGGAAATGATATTAAAACAAGTGTTTTTCAAGAGGATGAGATAAAGTTTCTTATAATTAAGTTAACACCTTTAGGTTGTAAGAATCTGCAGCGCCAACAACGCGGTTCATATATGACTCAGGAGCATCTTCTTCTTCTTCATCTTTGCTCTGTTCCAGATAATGTTGAGAACCTTTTCTTCTTTTCGCTATGGCCAACAATGCTGCTCTTTCGTCTGAGTCATCCTGACCAATGAAATGTAAAACGTACTCAGTCTCCATCAAGTTTCATAACAGTATATGAGCTTGAAGTAGGAACAGAAGTGGAACACATACCTCCAAGTTCAGCGAATGTTTGCGAGAGTCAAGCTCCTGAGGAGTAAACTCAGCCTGTTTTTAAAAATATATAAAATGAGAAACTTGAACATAAGCCTATAAAGGTATTAGGAATATGAAAATGTAGGTACATGCCTTTTGATAAGGTTTGATTGTCAAGTGTTTGAAAAGCTGCAGAAGAGGATGAAGCGTGGAATTGACGTCTGGGGAAGAACCGATACGCCAAGTGGATTTGCTAACGTCAGTGAATATCGAGCTGTGGATGTAGAAGCTGCCATACAAAAGCCATATAAGGATCCAACAAAAACTAGCATTCAAGCAAAGACAAATCAACTGAAACAAAACAAAAAATTATCCATTACCTGACATATAGCATTATGTCTTGCATCATTTGAAGAAATGGTGGCGCTGCTACGCATCTGCCTAGCATTTTGACCTTACCTGATCTCAAAAGGCACACAGCCCAATTCGACCATTCCATCGGAAGCCTACCAATCTAAGATCATACAGGCCAAGGAATAACAATCAATATTTAATGCCAAAACAAAAGTTTCAGCATTTCACAACTTGAAAATGTCAATATGTTAAGAAGCAGAAATACAAATTGCTCAGATTCAAACAATTGGTAACTCTCGAGAAAACTTATGGACTAATGAAAGGAGAATGGCTCAATTTCTCATCTAATTGCACAGAAACACAGAAGGCAAATCCAAATCCTTGTTCAAAATAGGAAATGTTAAATAACGAAAATCATTACCTAATGTAGCTTTCAAGGTTCAGTAGAAACTAAAAACAAGTTTCGAACTTTGCATTCATAAACTTGCGGGTCAAAATCTTATAAACACAAATTGTTCAGTATGAAACGATAGTAACGCTCGAGAAAACTTTATGGAATAATGAAAGGAAATGTCTTCATGTTCTAATCTAATTAAACATAAACACGAAAGGCAAATCCAAATCCATGTTCAAAAAAATAACTGTTTAATAACGAAAAACCATTGCCTAATCTAGCTTTCAAAGTTCGGTTAGAAAGCAAAAATTAAGTTTCTTGCTTACCTCTCCACATCTTTTAGTAGAGAAACGAACAATGTTTGGGACTTTCCAGTTCACAGTAGAGGGGAATGTGAAGTTCACAACCTCGTTATCTTCTATCTTTCTTCCTTTACTCGTCGAAGTAGCTGTGACAAGCGACCTCCCGACCAAAAACCAATCTTTCTCCACCGGAAAATCTCCATCTTCCACTTTCACCCTTCTTGCATCAACCGTCTCCTTCTTCACATACACAGGTCTCTGTTTCGTTTCCTTCACTTGCAAGCTCAAACTCAAAGCATCCACCTTTGTTTCCTCAACCGGTTCCCTCTTCACATTAACCGACTCCACATCAATAACTTCAGGGGAATCCAAATTCTCATCTTTCACTTTAATAAATTGAAGGGGCTTCGGCGCCAAGATGATACCAGTTGGTATAGATTGCTCAATCTCCGATTCTTTCAAAGCATCCACCTTTGTTTCCTCAACCGGTTCCATCTTCACATCATGCGTATCACTCCTCTCTTGTTTCACTAAGGGATTCAGAGAATCTGATTCCACTTCAATAACTTCAGGGGTATCCAGATTCTCATGCTTTAGCGCGATGATGACACCATTTGGTATTGATTGTTCAGTCTCCATGTCACTTCTTATGGCTAAAGTTACTAAACCAGGCTCTTCCTTGACCTTGACATTGACATTAACACGACCGTACTCTGAACCTCTTGAAACGGTTTCGACGACAGATTTTGCTATCGAATCAACGATCATTTCTTCTTCTTGAGCATGCGATTCAGGCTCCTCCTCAACCTCTAGCTTCACGTTGCAATCAAAACATGAATCTCTTGAAACAGTTTCAACCACAGAATCAATCATCATTTCTTCTTCCTGATCAGAAACTAGATTCTCGGGTTCCTCTTTCACACGGATCTCTTTATTCGCAATATCACAAAGAGTAACAGAATCGTCACCGATTACCTCAAAAGTAGAAATCTCCGGCAAAATATCGGTTGGATCCGGTTTAGATACATTCGAACCGATAATTTCCTCAAGGCTTTGCTGAGCTGAGATTCGGACTCCGGTGGATCTCCGAACGACTACAGAGGATCCGTCGATTGAATCAGGAGTATCTGCAACGATCTTACCATCACTGGAACTCGAAACAGCTGTTTCCGGTTCGGTTCTCCGCATCTCCGCTTCGTCAATCATAACCATTTGGACGAGAAGACAATTGAGAAAGGGAGAAAGGGAGAGAGGGAGAGGAGAGAGAGAGAGAGAGAGAGAGAGAGAGAGAGAGAGAGAGAGAGAGAGAGAGAGAGAGAGAGAGAGAGAGAGGGAGAAATGGCGGATGACGGACGGAGGTGAGAGTGGGGGGCTTAGTGTTTTTAAATAAGGTCTTTTGGGATTCGATTTTGGCGCGAAGCGAAGCGAACGGGTTTGGTAATAAGAATTCGGCGGGGTAATTTTTGGAGCCAAAATTACTGTTAATCCTTACCGTTAATCAATACAACAAAAACACAAGTGTCTCACTTGGTGAAGACACATCAGCATTTTGGAGTTTTACGAAAATGACACTTCAGCAAAAAAAACCACTAATCAAATTAAAACATTAATACACATCACTCGTTTCATTTATCATCCATTTCATTTATAAAAGCCCAAAAGACTATAAACCTAATTAAATTAACACTAAAATGTGATTAACAAATTATGGAGCATGTAGCACAAAATGTAGACCACTCGAGGTGTGTGCGATTATATTTAAACAGAACATTAAAATCACTGCACTAAACGTATTTCCTTTAATCAAATTTTATATTCGTTGTATATCAAAGCGAGTTTTAGTTTTAATCACACCTTTGCTCAGCTCTTAAACACCGATGACGATGCTAGGGTTTAGGAAGGATCACGATTGGAGCAGTCAGCGAAGCTTAACAGTTTATTTTTTTACAACAATAATACCGGTCTTCACCAATAATAACACCGGCTCAGTCTTCACCAACAATAACAGCAATGTCTTCAGATGACATCTCAGCATTTTGGAGCTTTCTGAAAATGACATCTCAGCAAAAATATTCGCCAATCAAAATATTTTATTAATACAACTTATCTACTTATTTTAACTTTTAAATTTAAATCCATTAAAAACCCATATACTTTTTCTATTAATCTTTGTTTTATTTTTACCAAACTCAAGCCCAAATAACTAATAACAGTAAATTAAACAAAATATTTATTTTATTTTTTGTCAGACTCAAGTCCAAATAATAAATAACAACAAATAAAAAAATATTTGTTTTTGATGGGCAACATAATTTTCTGTTTTTGATGGATAATGCGATTTTTTGGTTTTCGCACGAAAATACAATTTCACAGTTTTTGCAGAAAAATGCAATTTGACGATTTTGGCAGAAAATGCAATTTCTCAGCTTTGTTAGGAAAACACGATTTCTCGGTTCGACGAGAAAACAATTTTTCTTGGCTTTGGCGGGAATAGGGAATTTCTTTGTTTTGTCTGAAATAGAGGATTTCTTGGTTTCAGAAGGAAAATGTGAATTCCAGTTTTGGTAGCAAAACATAATTTCTCGGTTATGTCGGAAAAAAGCGAATTCTCGGATTTTGGCGAGAAAATGTGAATTTTTTGTTTTGGTGAGAAAACAAAAAAAAATTGATTTTGACGGAAAAACAAAATATCTTAGTTTTGACGGGAAAATGCTCGGTTTTGATGAAAAATGCAACTTTTCAATTTTGACAAAAATGCGATTTCTCAGTTTTAATAGGAAATGTAAATTTTGGCTTTTAACGGATAATACGATTTCTTGGTTTTCGTGCGAAAATGTGATTTTTTTAGTTTTTGCGGAAAAATTAGAATTTGACGATTTTTGCAGAAAATGCAATTTCTCGGTTTGATAGGAAAATAAAATTTCTCGATTTTCGCCGGAATAAGCAATTTCTTGATTTAGCTGGAAAATGCAAATTTTCAGTTTTTGACGAATAATGTGAATTTTTTTTTGTTTTCATGGAAAAATGTAATTTCTTAGTTTTCACGAAAAAACACAATTTCTCGGGAGATAATGCAATTTTTGGTTTTCGCAGGAAATTGTAGTTTATTTGTTTTGGTAGGAAAGCGTGATTCTTGGTTTGAAGAGAAAATGAATTTTTGGTTTTGGCGAGAATAGAAAATTTCTCGGCTTTTGCAGGAAAACAAATTTTTTGGTTTTGACCGGAAAATATGATTTTTGGGTTTTTGTAGGAAGATGAAATTTTTTGGTTTTGGTGAAAAACATATTTTTTTTGGTTTTGGCGAGAAAACACAGGTTCTCGCGGGAAAATGAAATTTTAGGTGTTAGGTTTGACGAGACAATGAATTTTTTGGTTTTGGCGGGAATAGGCGCCTTTTTAGTTTCATGGGAAAATGAAGTTTTTGTTTTGATGGGAAATGCGATTTTTCGGTTTTTTGTAAGAAGATAAAATTTTTTTGTGCTAAATTTCCAAGTTAAAGTATGTTTACAGTAACCAAAATTTAATAATTTAACTTCAACTAAAATGATATTTCAATAATTCAAACAGAATTTTCTATTTAGTTCTAAAGCAATAGCAATGGTTTTGATATGAATGTTATTGATTATAATTTGATAGTTTTAGAAACATATATTTATAATAAATATTTGATAAATAAATAAATTATATAATTCAAGATAATCATATTAATTAGTAAATCTTTTTTTTAAATGGCATCTTGCTTTATATAATTACAAAAGAGGATTAAGTGACAATTTATTAGAGAAAATAGATTATATTTGCCATTGGCATGAAGCTACTAAAAATATATTATTTTATTCTTACATATACATATATAGTTAGTTAGCTAAACAAATCTAATAGCAAATTATAATTTCAAAAAAAAAAAAAAAATTAATAATATACAATGTTTATTCAAATTAAAAACATATAAATACATAACTTAAGCTAATGAGAATATATATATAATATTCATTTACATTATAAAATAATTTTATTATATTAAAAATATATGCAAAATTTAGGAAAATATTCCGCAGCATAGCACGGATAAATACCTAGTTTATCTAATTAATCTTCAACACAATATTTTCATTCCCTCATTTCGATTCGCGCGGGATACGTTATTGATTGTATCATTGTACAGTGGTTATTTCTCTTTCTAATCTTTACTCAAAGTTATTGCTCATTGAAATACAGTTAGGTAGTACCTGGTAAGTGTCATATAAAGGTAAGCAAGAAATCGAAAATCAACAGGAAGTGTACTTTTACTAAAATGAGTTGGATAATGAGGATAACGAAATTTTGAATAGTTAAAACTTTGGGATACTTGCAAAAATCACCTTCCCAACATTTGCCATTTTGTGTCCAAACAATCCCTCATAGTTTCAGTTATTCACGAAATTGCCATTGTTTTTAATTAATTTTATTTATTTTCGGAAATTCAATTGACCAACTAATCCTCATCTTCCTCACTTATTTACGAAAATGCCATCATCATCAATTCACCCAACCACCATTTTCAACCAATTTTGAAGCTTTAATGGTGGCAAAAACCCATTTTTGAGTTTGTTGAGCTCATTATTTTCCCTTTAAGCTTCTATTCTTCCATTTCCTCTCTATTTTCTTCCCAAAAACTCAATAATTTGTCTATTAAAAAGTTGAAGTTCATAAAAATTTCTATATTCCGGCGATTTGGTTGTTTGTTGCGGTTGTGCTTCTTTCATTGTGGCTAGGATCGAAGATCTTGACCAGAAAAAAAGCTAAAGGCGAGTGGTAAGTCGGATTTTCAGTCAATTTTGGTGTTTTTTAGTTCTGGGCTCCGAAAGTAGACTTCACTCGGTCCGAATGAAGTCTACTAGTCAACGCCCAGGTTAGTTTTGCAATTGACCGCATGAAAAAGTAGACTTCTTTTGGTCCGAATGAAGTCTACTCCATTTCTTTTGATAACAAAAAAAATGGAGTAGACTTCTCGAGTAGACTTCTTTAGAAGCAGGTCATTTTTGTAATTGACCAACCTTTGACTTTTCAGAGTAGACTTCTCTATGAAAAGTAGACTTTTCGGAGAAGTCTACTTTTGTAAGTAGACTTCTGGCAGGTCATTTTTGCAATTGACCAAAAATTCAAATATTTTGCAATTGCAAAAATGACCTGCGAGAAGTCTACTTACGAAAGTAGACTTCTCCGAGAAGTCTACTTTTCATAGAGAAGTCTACTAATATTTTGGCAATTGCAAAACTAACCTGCGAGAAGTCTACTTTTATCCGAGAAGTCTACTTTTATCCGAGAAGTCTACTTTTCTTGTTTTAAAAAAAAAATCATTTATATACAATATATAACGAATTTTTATGATTTTCGTGATCCTAAGCTTCTGTTATTAAGTTTTCTTGCTTATGTATAAGTTTTGCATGTTTATATTTTATAGGTATAGTCGAATGAGTTTTCATGTTTTATATGATACTTAGCTTATTAAGAGTAGACTTCTTAGTCTACTATAGAAGTCTACTAAGTAGACTTCATTCGACTTACCAAGAAGTCTACTTATGCAACGTTGATGTCTAATGTGGTTTGGATTTGGTTTTTTTTTTCACAGAGAATGGTTCACATACCCGCTGTTTATGGAAAATGGGTTAAGACTGAATCAGTTTGGCAGTTCGAGGTGGATAATAACAAAGGAGGGCGGATGTTGTTCTTAAGAGATGGTTGCACACATGTTGAGCTTCTTGGAATGGTGCAAGAGGATTATATGCTGGAAAAGGAAACAAAGGTGGAGTTATCCTATCCCTTACCACCTCAGATGCTTCAACATATGCCTCCTGATTCTCCGCCTATGTATGTCACAAATGATAGACATGTTCAGAGCTTGATTGAGTTAAGTAAGATGCATGGTGTTCGCCTTTGTGTTTCGAGTAGGATAGTGGACCATGAGAATGATGATGTGGATGGACATGCGGATACGTGCTCTGATGCTGAAGAAGATTGGGATGAAGACGCTGAAGATTGGGATGAAAACGTTAAAAATGAGGATGAAGCTGATAGTTTGAATGAAGATGAAGTTAATCAGAATATGAAAGAAAAGTATGATAACTCAGATGTGGATTACAGTGAGTACGGGAAAGTTAAAGATGAGGATGAAGTTGAGGGTGTAAGAGAGCGTTGTGGTGGTTTTGATTGACTGGATAGTAGTTGGTCGT